TTATCATTGTAAGCCAAATATCAACTGTTCCTCTTCTTGGACGTACCCAATTGCATTTGTCACTTTGACCATTTTTATCTTATTTTATCATAGATTCATGTGAAGACGAACAGACCGTTGGAGACGTAAGTTTGTTTTTGGTTTGATTCTTTAAAACATAACGCAGCATGAAGTATCGGTTTATAAATATAAGAATAGACTTAAAACAAACATAGTGGTCATAAAAAAACATGACAATAAATTAACGTAAAAGCACACTTTTAACAAACATTTCAATGAAATCAATGTAATAATTATACCGACTTTGTTTGCATCATTTATTTCCAATTTTGGTTACTGTTCTGATTCACCAACAGTCGTTCCATATCAATTTAAAGCTTAAGTAACATAGTTTGTTGTTTTTTGAGCGCCCTGGTTTAAGAAATTGTTATAATTTCAATTAAATAAATACTTACTAGGTTTGTGGAGTGGGAAAGACATGTCAAAGAGTAAAGTGTAAACCGGACTCTGATTCAGACTCCAAATATGACGAGTCTGATGAAAGTAGTGAAAGTAATGACTGTGAACTGGTTTGCAAGAAATCTGGTAAATAATTTTATTTTTTATAGATTTGACTCAATTTTGACTCAGTCCAATCTAAAATCCATTTAAAATCATTTGTTTTCCTTAAGCTTGCTCTAAATTGATATAATTTAACTGTTTTTAAGCTTTAAGTTAAAGTCATGCATTAAACTTGAAACATGGTCCTGTAATATAAAAGCAGTGAGATAAAATCTTGTCTCACTATGCATTTTGTTTTGACTTCCTGACTTTGCATTCATCATATATACTACATAACTTATTTTTGTTACTGGCATTTTTTTTAATTTCCTTGCTTTTTATTCATATGAGTATTTAAATATGTTATAGGGCGGTGATCAGGTGGTTGTATGTCAACGAGATGGCCACATCAGCTATTGTGTTCCCGATGAAATGAAACAAGCCACTCATGCTTTGAAACGATTTGTTACAATGAATGTTTGAATATAAATGGCAATGTTGCTGAAAGTTTAGTTTAATCGTTTTTTTTTTAAAATCCATGAAACCTTAAACATGTTTTTTACTATTATTTCTGAAACGCAGTGATTGAACGGTTTTTTTTAAAGTTACATATTTTTCATATAGTTTGGTCTTCGTTTGCCTTTTTACGTTTGACAAATGTTTTAGAAATGTAATCATAGTAATTAACTATTTTTAAGGAATTTAAATTACCACATTGCTGCTTTTATGACTTTTACATTCATAGCTTTTATAAAGCTTTTACAATACCATTTTATGATGTCATAAATTAAAGTAACTTATTTTTTAAAACACATCCGAACAGTTGAATCAATTCAACAACAACAAAAATTGTATTTATCCTCTGAGCATCACTTGTATTGTCAAGCAATGAAAGCTATTACTTTGTTATCTAATTTAAGCGGTGTTATACCGTATAAGTGGTTTTTCTGTGGTGTCATTATTTTTGCGTAATCTGCGGTCAGTTTCACACCGCAGAAATAAAAACTGCAGACTATTTCTCAATGTTTTGGTATTTACCTGTTACGATATGTGTCCTACAACATGACCTGTGTTGTCTAAGATAATAACTACTAACGGATTATAACGGTTGGCGGGTCATCGAGCCCTCAGAAAAAAGAAACACTTATACGTTATGTTTACCAAAATCAAATGATGAAACAGAAATACAAACCGCAGAATATTTCTCAATGTTTTGGTTTTTTACGTGTTACGATATGTGTCCTACAATATGACCTGTGTCGTCTAAAGTATTAACGACTTACGGATTATAATGGTTGGCGGGTCATCGAGCCCGCCGAAAAAAGAAACATTTATAAGGTATGTTGACAAAAATCAAATGATGAAACATGACACACTACTAGATCAAAGTCATACCCTAAAAGTCTTGAAACAAAGTGATCCCTCTGAAGCATTAATCACAACAAAATAACATGAAAATTGCAGACTTGGTTAAGTTTTATATTTTGAAAAAAGTAGAACCTTTTCAAGTTTCTCTATTTTTTCGTTCAAACTTTTAAATGAAAAAAGTAGAACCTTTTCAAGTTTCTTTTTTTCGTACCATATAGGTTTGTTCCTAGCTTTATATTAAGTACGTCTACAAGAAGCCAACCATTGTATGTGTTTGCTAAATTGAGCGACATACTAATGAATCTCCATCATAATGTACGCGCGAATACTTGGCACTTTCTTAAAAAACTTCGAGAATCAGTATTCTGACTGACTAAAAGACTTTTAATAGAAAAATCATGATTTCTATATCGCATAAGTTGCAAAGACGATTCAACAAATTATATCATAATAGTGAGAGATGAATTATATAGATAATGGAATAATTGAATATCATCATGGTATAATTGCAAATTAATCATTACAGTAATTAGTATTCTGGTTGAACAAAAACAATAAATTGTAATATGATGTATCGTATTTAGACAGCTTTATTTTGTCGTTATTCCCTGCGGTCTGGAGACCGCAGGGTATTGGTACGCGTTTAACTTTTGAGGCATGGAGGAGCACGTGAACCCTTTTTTTCGGTTTCCCTTTGGGGGAAACATGTGAAACTGTAAACCGTCATGATTTGAATTGAACCCTTTTTGAAAAACCCAAAACTAAATACCGTTTTCCGTAGTTTCATTTTCCTGGGAAAACTTTCAATATGAAACTACCCTAAAAAAACGAGGGATATCGAGTGAAAAAAAAAAGCGAGTTGCTTTTCCCTTAAACTTCGAGGGAAAAACATATCGCTTATGCTAAAACAATACCAAAAAAAAGCCCGTTTTTTAAAAGCCCAGTTTTTTTGTGATTAAATGTCCGATTTTAAAATGTATTATACCAATAGAAAGCTTTGGATCTTAGCTTCGTCACTGTATAAAATTCAACACATCTTTGGACTTCAAAGTATTTTAATTAACTGTTAAACCTACCATATGTCAGACCATTTTACATACGATTTATACAGTGAGATACGCAATCCGTTATCTTTACTCGAAATTCTACTGATATGAATAGCCAGTCGTCTGCTAGTTCTGAAAGTGTTTATCGGTGTTTATTTCTAATTTTCTATAATTATTTTACCGTTAAAATTGGAAAAAACTTGAATGATATGTTTGAAAATTATCAATGTTTCTTTAATATCTATCTCAAACTTTATAAACAATAAATTCTTTATACTGAAAATCTACAAAATTAAAATATTCGTAGTGGCATCAGCCATAATAAATAGAGATATTTTCTGCGTAAACTTGTGTGTTTACTTTATTTATTTTTTGCTCGGAATTATTCATAAAATGAAGGCCTATTTAATCATTTTCTTAAAAAAAAATAATTGTTTTATGCTCGACCTTCTCCGGTCTTCAACGGTCACCAGTTTCCAAAGAGATCGTTTATTCAACTTTATCCCTGATACAAACGTTTATTTATTCCCCCCCCAAAAAAAAAAATGTTGAAAATAGTTAAAAGAAATATCTTTATATATATCATTAAAATGTTCACCGCAGGAAACCATTATACTTGTTTATTCTTGAATCGTAACAATACGGGAGCATATGTTCTCAAGCAGGCGTCTTTATTTATAATATCTTAATTTATTTAAAGATGAAAAGAATTCCATCAAAATACGAGGTGCTCATGCATATTCTATTAACACTTACATATTTAATTGGTTGAATATTTTTGGTAGGTGTTATGTTGTGAATATGATGCGTGCTCAGTACTGTATTCAAATATGTATTTCCTATGTTTAAAACTGCCCATGTGTGCTTCTTAGGCAGAAAACAGGTAAATAAATCATTACAATTTTAAGTAAAATTGGGCTAACATTACGTATTGATGCTACGTTACTTCATAATCGTGCAAATATTTGACTTCACATTATGACAAGACGTGGAAATATTCCAAATGCCTATGAACAGTGTAATATAAAAAGAACGCATGAAGTGTATCAAAAGGCCAGTGCTTCAAGAAATGCTAATTGGCTTACAATACAATACTGAGGCCATTATTTGGAAATCTGAATGAGCCGTGTGTGTTGCGAAGAGTGTGTTTGTTTACAAATTAGCTATGCTTTGTTCCCTGTGAACTTCACTACAATGTATTGTATGAATATTGCTATTGTTTTATATATGTTATAAAGTGAACGAAAAAAATACCGTTTCCCGCAAAATATTTGAAAGTGTCTTTGTATAATTTAACTTTCATAAGGAGTGCATCAACACAAACTGAAATAGTTTTTGTATTGCTAATTTTCTTCACCCCCTTATTTTTATGTTTGAGGATTGTGGTTCGCGACTGACGCATCATAAACTGGTCAGGTTCATTTACAAAAAAAATGTATTACTTATATCTTAGACTATCAAATTTATCTTGAAATAAAGGTTAAGGGTTATATGTCCCTTCTTAAAATTCACAATATAAAAGAAATAAAAGTAAAAAGTGATAAAGTATAAAAAAAATGTGAGCTTCAATTAAATTAATAATTAGGTCTACTTCTGGTAAAGTTTCAATTGATGATTTTTAAAGAAGTCCAGTTATGTAATGAAAAGGATTTTTAATTGTGAACAGTATCCCAGCAAACAAAAGACGTTGTACCAACGTTGTACTGACGTTAGACCCTGACGTTGGGTAAACGTTGGCAGAAGGTTGGATTTGAAAGTTTTTAGACGTCAGAAACCGACGTCTATACAACGTCATAAAATGACCTTTATCCAACCTTTTCTGACCATAATCCAACCTTTTTTGACCATTATCCAACCTTTTCTGACCATTATTTGGACACAATCCAACCTTTTTCTGACCATAATCCAACCTTTTCTGACCATTATCTGACCATATGCCAACCTTATCTGACCAAATTGTCTGACCATGATTTAACCTCATTCAAAACTTTTGGAATATGATTTTTTTTCAATTTAAAGCTCTTTAATAGGGTTAATAAATAAGCATTCTTATGATTTTAGCAATTTATTTTATACTCGGAATCACAAGTACAAAACAAGAAATGTGGTACTATAACAAATGCAAGATTTACATAATATTTTTTGAAACTATTAAACTTGACGGTATGTACTTTAATAACGCTTCATGTATTAATTAAGCATGTTTTAGAAATAAGATAAACAAAATCCTTCTTGAATATTAACACTGACATTTTATATAGCAAACATCCATGCATGTGTTTTTTCTTATATCACCACTTAACTGATCACTCTGAGTTTGGGATTTTTTCAATCATCTATCAAACTCACTGATTGTATATTTGTCTTTGTATTTTATAACTGAATCTAGATCTGAATGTTAAATGGAACAATATTCTGAATATTTTGTTATAACTATAAATAGCAATGTTCATGTATCTTCATTAGTATTCTAGCTTCTTTCGTCCTCCTACACTATGTCGATCTGGGGCATACTTTAAGCGTATCATTACCGTCTCCAACCTGAGATCTCATCACACTTTCTGAAATTAAAAAAAAAAAATAATCAGTTACAAGTGCAAGAAATAAATCACTTTTACATATTATAATTAAACGAAATTCTAACAAAACTCTCCAACTACTTAAAAAGATACTTATTATTTTTAATTTAGTTTAAACCATGTAGTTTCGTGTACCTACTGTATATATCTATTAATTTTGATAAAAATGGCTTCGTGAATTTCATTATATCACTGTATTTTCTATAATATTTTGAAATATACCTGTCACAAAATCTTGGTAGGTTTTCATTTTTCTTTTCTTCTAAATATTTTCATCTTCCTCCTGAACTTTTGACACATGTTGAATTATCATAATTTTCACAATCTGAAAGACGAAATATAATCGTTTTAGAATTTAACCATGTGGTGGAAGGATGTGTGTCTAATAAAATAGGCAAAATCCAATTACTATCAATCTTAGTTAACACATAAGCGCATGAAAAACTGATATAACAAATACCAAATTAATACTTCTCCGGCAAAAATTGATATTGTTATTTTTTATATTTAATGTACTTTGTACAAATGCTCAAACAACAGCAAAGAAATTCACATGTTACTGTCATTTTTATAGATATCATCTCTGCCCAGCATGATCTGGTCTGCTAAGTGTATATAGGACAGACTGGCTTTGTGTAAAAACGTTTTATGAAAGGAGCATACAACTTGTTGATAAGCAGGCTAATTAACAAACTATTACTTTTATTGATTTATATCTATGATAATGTGTTTTCTGATTGATAATATGTTGTTTGATTACATTAATAAGAAGATAGCTAGTCAAATACAATGTTCTTTTAGATATATCTTACCAAAGTCGTATCATTTACATGTATCAAATGCCATGAATCATTATCATAATATAAGAAACACATGGTATGCTTACAGTATGGGTAAAGTACTTCAATTAACAACGAGTAGTTTAACAACTACACAGATATCAAAATCAAACTGCATCTGATACATGTGTAAATGACTGGCCCCTCATATAAGGGAAATTCATGTTGATAAGAAATAAGAGGAAATTTTATTTACCAGCATTTGAATAATAAGAGTCTTACGTACTGCATTTAACTTTTTATTGATTTCAATTGCTAGGATATTTCCTACCATTGATTGTGCATTTATTTGGCATGGCGATATAGTGTGGGAAAATGATCCGATTATACAGACTGTTCTATAGCAAATGATATTTAAAGTGTTCTTACGTGGAAACAAAAATATTTATCTCGCGAAATCACATGACATTAAGTTTTACCAGTCAATCATTTCAATGAATGATCAAATAACCATCGAATCCATGCAAACATGCGGTAAATTAGCATTTAAAAACAATATATAATGTTTGCCTACCTTTTTCTTTTGTTTGGAATATACAACTTTGTCTGTCAATCCGTCGTTTTTTTGTCCGCTAATACAATTGAATTTCAAATCCGATAAGTCGCAAATTCGAATTTACTAAATTATTTACCACTATAAAATGAAGCCCTCAAAAATGATAACAACTTCATTGTAAAATATATAAACACTTCTTAAACTAATTCGAGGAGATAAGATATTATTTAAACGAAAATAGAGCAAATATATTTCATACTGATCTGCGACTATCCGTTTATAGAGCGCCACCTATCGAATATCGTACGTAAGCCACCCACGTGATACTGTTGTTTTGATGGAGAAAATAAATATATAATGTTCCCTTTCTAAACTTAAACTTAAAATTCTCGCTGTTTATGCTTTCATTTATATATATATTGGTTTCATAAATTAAATTCACCTATTGTCAGATTACTGACCAAAACCCGACGTCGAGACGACGTCAAAATGAAACGTCTGTTAGACGTCGGGGATTCAACGTCGATTTGACGTTGTATGAAGGTCAACGACGTTGCGACCAAAATTCAACGTTGATCCAACGTTGGGCCAACGTCGGGTGTTTGCTGGGATCAATGGAAGTATACAGTCATCACGCACCTGCAAAATGCTACAAATCGGACTGTTCTTTTTTGTAAACATCCCGTCGACATAACGGTTTACTATGTTTTTATTCAAATATATCGTTAGAATATCAAAAATAATGTAGCGCACCAAAGAGTGTCTTTAGTACTTGTTATAATTTAAAAAGAAAATTTAAAGTTTAAAATTTTACTACCGAGTTTAGTCCTGAAAACGGGATAAAGTGTTCATTTCCTAAATGCTCCCATTTGAACTCTCAAACAAATTTTGTCCCGTTTTCAGGCTTAAATCAAACAGTTATCTTCGATATGACAAAAAACAGTTCGACCGGGAACATTTTGCAGGTGCTCGATGACGTAGTATCCTACCACAGCAACGACATTTGCAATTACCCGTATTTTGCAATAATCCGAAATCGTTATCGAAGAACGTAAATTATCATGACAATGTCAGAAGCCAGTGCAAGTAACGTTTTCCCTTTTTTATTCCATAATATAAAGCTCACATCAACGAAAGTAGAAATTTGTTGCAATTAGTCCAAAACTCGACAGAGCCTTATTATTAACTGGACTAATAACATTATTTTCCGTTTGTGATATTCTAAATATAATTAAAATTAAAAAGTAACTTCTATAAAAAGTGTTGAGTTATTATTTGTTTGTGCAAGTTGTATAAAAGATAAGCGTACAAACTTTGCTTTGGGTTGATAAATAAATTAACTGTTTTTAAACAAAATAATATATTTTCTGTTTTATAATGAAATGCAAATAAGAAAGTAAAGCAGGTATTAAGAATTTATTTTGAACTAGACAGACATAAATAATTACATAAAGAAAAGATAGACAAGTAGACACGTTTTTATAATCTTTGTACTTGTTGAAAATTTGATAGTTAATTTAAATAAATAAAAAAAAAAATATGAAATAAAAAAAAAACAAGTACACCAATCTTACTCAATGCTGTAAATAACGCTGCCATTCTTATTGTAGTTAATCTATATACTTGAATTAATATTTATTTGGAGCTTACCTAAATTTATATCAGTATCTGCTGTCGCCCATTCTTGCAACATGACACACTTGTAATTAACAAATAAAACATGGCCTTGAGGGCAATATGCAAGTTTACGGACTGGTCAGACTGAGGAAGGTATCTGGCCCGAAGCGCAGCTGAAAAACATTTACCTTCCAAGGTCTGACCAGCCAGTCAGTAAACTTGCATTTTGCCCGAAATGCCATGTTTTGTTTGTTATATTACACCGAATCTAAATCCTTTCATCCCTTTTGTTGCTGTCAATTTTACTATAATTTGCTTTCAAAAAAAGAATTATTTGTTCAGTGTGTGAAATATCTCAAATCCTAGTCGGAATTATTGTTATTATTTTCAAGCAAAAAAAAATCATGCTCTTCTTTTGTTATTCACTTTTTGTTAATCAATTTACACATGCAAAAAAAACACTTTAAGATTTTCACAAACTGTATAAATAAAATTTATAATCAATTAAAAGACAATGACTTTTGATCAACATGTAATTAATGTATGTGAAACAAAACAATAAATTCAGTAAAAAGAATCATTTAACAACAAAATAAAATATTATACTTCAATTGCATAAGCCCTTCTATATTTAATATGACGTCATCCAGTCCATATAAGAATTATGGACCGCCCCCGGTCTGAATGCGGTTTATGGATCGGATGACGTAATATCAAATATAGAAGGACGTATGCAAATGAAGTATAATATTAAGAAATGATGTTAGATTCAAGCAAAATAACGTTGTCTACAAACTTCGTGCTTGTCAACATAAAGACTTCTGTTTTATGATTTAGTAGGATAAGCGCATCGTATGTACTTTAACTCGTTTGAATAAAAGATTGCTCTTTTGTCTGATATTTCTTATTTATTTTAAAATCAATTTCAACGTTGTCAATATTGATAATATAATGGTAAAATATGTGCAAAGAAACATGAATCAGCAAAACAAATACATACTAATAAATTTATCTCTATCCGGGCATATTAAACGAAGACGTGAACAAGTTGTTAAATGACAATTAATTAGAATATCTGCACTTGATTGAAATCATGATAACGAAAAAGATCTTATTGAAATGTGAAATGACCTTCATCAGCCTTATTCCATGAAATGACAAAATTAAGTCCTATTATATTAAACATGTTTGTTTTTTTCAAATCAAAATTCAGTTTAATAATGGTCATTGAACAAGGTGATAAATTGACTTTGAATTAGCACGGGGAAATATATCATATTGTTTTTGATACAGAGATTAAAAAAACGCATATTGGTATAAACAAATTTTATAGTATAAGTCATTAGCAACTCAAGTAAACAGCACCAAACTCTTTTTAAAAACGCAGAAAAGAGAATCATGTATTTTAATTAAGACATCTATCAAAACGCTAGTTTTAATCAGAAAGTATATACATATTTTTATCAATAGTTTATTTATGTCTAGATACACGTTGACGCATTGGTTAAAGAATAAAACAATAGAAAAAAATTAAATGTTTCTAGAACAGCACAACCGGCTTGCGGCACAATATAAGATACAACCTGTAGTACTAAGTGTACCTGCCTTATTTCTATCTGTTTGATGTCCATATTCCACTGTCATTCATAGTTGACACATTTCACACTGGTCAAGTTCATTTATTACTTATATCTATCCGAGTAATAGGGGCACAAAGGGAAATATGTAAATAACAGGAGCTTTAATGAGGTTTCAAATTTATTTGATCTCAATTAATTACTATATAATGATGTATCTTCACGTTATAGTTTTTGTTTATGTTAAACTATAAAAGAAAGGTAAACGAATTAATCAGGGCTACAAAGTAGTCGGATAGAAATGAACAAGTTTCTGCTGCTAACTTTTGTAAGTGTTTTTAGAGATTACATTGTCAAATGTTACCTTTTAAAATTGAGCTTGATTCTGTCATAAATACAAATTGACATACACATGGAATATTTGTGGTTTGTATTTTCCTTGAGTGTTCCATTTGTATATAAAGTATTTGCATTTTGATTTTTTGTGTGGCTGGAAGATATCATTATACTATGTAAATATTTACTGCGTGTGTATATAAATAAACGTATTTGTATTATCTGTAAGCTGGAAGAAGGACTAAATGATGTGATGATTTAACATAAAAATATCATGACTCTAACGATCATCGATAATAAATATACTTATAAAAACTAAGGCTATAAGTTACGTTGTTTTTTCCATTCATGGGAATGGACGTGAAGTTGTTTCACACTTGGTTCAAGCCAGAAAAATCATTGCAAACTTAACAAATTGCTACCTAGTCATGAATATTTACAATACCGGCACGTAATTGCCAGAGGTAAGTGTGTTTGTTTGTTATTTTGATTATTTTTGATATGTCCATTCCTTAAGGCAATTTCTACGACACACTCGTGTTTGTGTATCAGCTTCCTACTTTTTAATTGACGACATTATTGAAGATATAAACTGCTCATGTACACGTTTGTTTCCATTGAGAAACGGATTTTTATCTCATTTATTGATATCTTCAAACAAGACAAAATATATGTATATTTCTGTCAATACTGTGTGAACGTTTTAGTTTGAATGTTCCGACTATATTTCAATACGCAAAAATATCTTGTGCAAGCACAATTTGTTTGCAAAATTATTTGCATGAACAAACGATCTTTTGATGAAATAATTGTTCAATATTATCATGGTATTTTGGTATTTATTGCCAGATTATTATATAATAATCAAATACATACACAATGATGAAGTATTTAAAATTTGTAGATTCTAGATGGAATTTGAAGAAAATTGTTAACCTTTGTGCTACACAAAATAAATAAAAAAACATTTTTCCCCTTTTTAATTTGTATTTCCAGTCTTTTCTTCAAAGGACCACGGCAGCTGTAAAATGTTTCCCCGTATTTCAGTGATATTGTTATGGTACTTCGTTACCATGAATTCCAGCACTTTAAGTATTACAAATGGTGTACATCTTAAGCCGGGGCTAGCGGGTGGGGGGCTTGATCTCGAGAGGTTAAACTTTTCTCTTAATCCCTCATGTACAGACTCAATCAAACCGAGGTTACAAATTTCCATGATATATTTTTGTTATTAATGCTTCTGAGGGATCACCCTTTTCCAGACTTTGATATATTTTACTGCTTTCACCTAGTAGCATCAGAAGCCCTTACTTATACCACGAGAACGTTTGTTTTTTTCATAAGTAACCTGAGAAACGTGCAATTAAAATAAATACGCACATGCATTTTTGTTGTAAAACCAGAAAAAGAATATAACAAAATCAACATTACAAAGCAAATGTCACAGGGTGAGAAAAATTTACAGCTTGACCGGGACTTGAGCCCGGGACTTTCGAAACCTATCTTTCCGTGGCTCTACCAACTGAGCTATCCAGCCGCTTACACATCTTTTCCCCTTAATAGTGAACAGTTCTGAACCCCAACATAATCAATATCAGTAATCAATAAAGTCATAATCTTATCAGAAGATTTGAAGCTGATAACTAAAACCGATTGTGTAATCAACTGTGTCTTAAGGAATGGACATATTAAACCTTTTTGTTTCCAAAATAAC